AAAATGATACAAAGAATCTCCATAAAATGAATTATCATTATTAGAGTTCCTTAAAATTGAATTAAATCAAATATTTAAGCAATTTGTAATTGATTTGATTTTTTTAAATCGAATCAAATCGAATTGAATTGAACTCAAATATTTGATTAAATCAATTTGAATCGATTTGAATTTGATTGAATCAAATCAAATTGAATCAAATATTTGTCAAATCAAATTAAATCAAATCAAATCAAATCAGATCAAATCAAATATAATTTTTTTTTTAATTTTTACAATGATATATTAAAATAAAGCTATCTTAAAGTTTTAATTAAGAAAATTATTAGTAATTGCACTAAAAAATTTTAAAGATAACTTTTACAAAGTAAGTTTAGTAATAGGTAAATTTTTACTATTAACTTAGTAAAATAACTCTGCAGTCTCAGTTTTACTAAAAAAACTTAGTAATAACTGCCATCTCAGCTTTGTAACAATTTTATTAGCAAAAAAAATGATTTGAAGCTGCGAACACATTTTTTTGCTAAGTTTCTTAGTAAAAAATGTCTTTAAATCCACAGAGGTATTTTTTACATATTTTCTTAGTAAAATAATGTCTTTAGTTGTGAAGGCATTTTTTACTATGTTTTTTTAGTAAAATAACGTTTCTGAAGCTGTAAAAGCATTTTTTACTGTTTTTAGTAAAAAAAAGCATTTCTGAAGCTGTGAAGGTGCTTTTTGTCATAATTTTTTTAGTAAAAAAAGGTATTTCTGAAGCTGTAAAAGTACTTTTTGCTATAGTTTTCTTAGTAAAAAAGGTATTTTTGAAGCCATAGAGTCACTTTTTACTATAGTTTTCTTAGTAAAAAAAGCATTTCTAAAGTCACATTATTATGGTTTTCTTAATAAGAGCAGAGCTACTTCTGAAGTTTTGGAGATAGCTTTACTATTGATTCAAATCAAATTAAATATTTGAATATTTGATTTGAATTTGATCGAATTGAATCAAACATTAACTTGATTTGATCAAATAAATCATTCTTTGATTTAAATTTGATTGAATCAAATCAAATATAAATTTGTATTTGTATTTGATTTGATTTTTAAATCAAATATTCAAATATCAAATTGAATTGCAGAACCCTAATCATTATATTCAATAGTATGTCAAACTATAACTAAAAAGCTAATTGGATTATTACTTTTATAATAACAAATAAATAATAATTTTTTATTACCTTTTAATATATTAGAAGAAAAAAAATCTTTTAGTAAACTCATATTATTGTTTATCTTTTAGGTTTAGTATTTCGTTTGTTAACCCCGATCCATTTTCATATTTTTCTTTTAAATATCAAAGATGTTCTGTTATCATAATATAATTACCAATTGGATAAATGCGAGCACCTCCATTTTGCATGTTTCGAACTTTTAATATTGAATATTTGATTTATTAACTTATAATTTATTAAAAAATATAAAGTTTTAAATTAACTTACCTTTCTTAATACATTAAAAAACATCAGTTTTACTAATTAAAGATTGACTATTATTAAATATTCCTATTTTAATTGGAAAATTTCTTATAAAAAATGTATCATCCTAAGAATATTAAATAGATTAACAAAATAATAAATAGTATAAAAAATAATAATTAAAATGCTATACATACTATTATAATATCAAGATTAAAGTTTTGAATAAGCTAAGTCAGCTCGTGAGGCTTACGAGCTAGCTCACGAAAGCTCAATTCAAGCCGCTATAAAATGGCTTATAAGCTGATCAAGCCAGCTCATGCTGTAGCTCAGCTCGTCAGCTTGGATTTTTTATTTTTGAAAAAAATAATCCAGGAGTATTAACTTCAAAGAAAAATGCTTTCAGCAACGATTTCTTCAAAGTTAAATGATTCTGGAAATGATTCTTCAAAGTTAAACGATTCTGGTAATGATTTTTTCAAAAAAAATGATTCAGTAACATTTTCTTCGAAGAATAACGCTTCCAAAGCATTTTTTTTAAAATAAAATCACCTTTAGAGCTCTTTTTTTTATATGACAATGCCTTTGGAGTGTTATTTCTAATTAATAATGCTTTGGAAGCATTGTTTTTAATTTATAATGTTTGGAAGCATTATTTTTAATTTATAATACTTTTGAAGCATTATTTTTAATTTAAAACGCTTCTGAAGCATTATTTTTAATTAATAATGCTTCCAGAGCATTATTTTTAATTAATAATGCTTCCAGAGCATTATTTTTAATTAATAATGCTTCCAGAGCATTATTTTTAATTTATGACGCTTCAGGATCATTATTTTTAATTTATAATACTTCAGGAGCATTATTTTTAATTTATAACGCTTTAGGAACGTTATTTTTGATTTATAATGCTCCTGGAATAAAATTCTTAAAGAAAAATGCTCCTGGAGCGAAATTCTTAAAGAACAACGCTCCAAAAGTGAAATTCTTAAAGAAAAGCGCTCTGGAAGTGAATTTCTTAAAGAACAATGCTCTGAAAGTGAAATTCTTAAAGAAAAGCACTCAGAAAGTGAAATTCTTAAAGAAAAGTGCTCTGAAAGTGAAATTCTTAAAGAAAAGTGTTCTGAAAGTGAATTTCTTAAAGAAAAGTGCTCTGAAAGCGAATTTCTTAAAGAAAAGCATTCTGGAAGTGAATTTCTTAAAGAACAACGCTCTGGAAGCATAATTCTTAAAAAACAACGCTCTGGAAATGTAATTCTTAAAGAAAAACATTTCAGAAGCGTTTTGCTTCAAGAGAATCGATTTGGTGACATTTCTCTTAAAGGAAACTATTTTGGAGACGATTCTCTTGAAGGAAATCGCTTTCCGGAACTTTTTAATCACTCTGAAATTTTTTTTCAGATTTTTGTTAATAATGTAAGCCATATGAGCCAGCTTGTTTAGCTCGTGAGCCAGCTCAGCTTGCCACATTTTGGACTCAAGCTGAGCTGGCTTATGAGCTGAAATAATTTAGCTCAGCTCGAGCCGATGGTGAGCCAGCTCATGCAAAGCTTTAATCAAGATCATGAAAAACATGAATTTTTATTATAAGTTTCTTCAATCCAAGACCAATCATGTGAAGCATCATCAAAATAAAGCCCAATAGGTTTGGCATTCAATTTTACTAATTCTTTTAAAGTAGTATTATTTTCAAGAAATATATCAGTTTTAGTTTCTTTTTGATTTGATAGTATAACAGCTAAAACTAAGGTAGAATATCTAGCAAAATAGCTGATAATGCAAAAACAGTAATATATGTGGCTTTTTCAAATACTGAAATTTTGACATGAAGTTCCTCAATAAGGTATTTGAAGTATCAATTGGATCTATCCATTATTGACGTGTTTTATTAACTTCAATCATCTCAGCAACTTTTGTTTGATCTTTTGCACATATTGTTGGACCATAATAATTATATAATAAACTCTAAATTGTAATAAGCTTTGTAAATACATTAGAATTGATTTTTATAAATATTAAAAAATCCATTATTATCATATTTTTTTTACGTATAAATCAAATTATTAGATCAGCAAGATTTGCAGTAATCCATTGAACTGATAATATACTAATTAATATTAATACAATAAGAAAATCTATAAAACTATTATTGTATTGCCTAATTCTATATATTGATGTTATTTCATATTTTACTTTATTAAAAAATTTAGTAACTGCTTGTGTCATGTCAAAAAAAAACTGGATATTATTCATCTATAGTTTAATTAATCATAAATATTATATATTATACAACCCAATCTTCAAATTCATTTTTTTCAACAGCTTCAAGAATTTGATTGAGTGACAGATATGATTCGATAAATGAATAATAGGAATAGTTTTTAAATTCAGTATTGAGATAATTAAGAAGTTTTTTAAAAGTATCGGATGTGGTTGTTTCAGGTTAATATTTAATTGTATTTATAACAGTTTCATAAAACTGTTGATGATTTATTAAAAGCTATTAACTATGGTTATATAAACTATGTAAATTTTGAGAAATTTATTATCTTTCTTTTAAAAGAAATAAACAATCAATTTGAGTTAGAAGGGTTTGCATACGTTTATTATGTTGGTTTTTCCTATACAATTATTATGTTTGAAGTATCCTTCTGCTTTTTTGGATATCATCTTATAAAATTTGACAATCTTTACCTTTGGTTTCATATTTTGCTAATACAGTATATTTATAAGAGTTAAACCTATTACAGGTTGAACAATCATTATATTAGCATTTCATATATCTATTTTAAGAATGAGTAAATAAAGAAATCAATGTTATATTCATATTATTATCAGATTGATCACAATTAGTAATAAATTGAGAAATGAAGGTTGTTTGTGACTTTGTGTATGCATTTTAATCAGCATTTGTCTTATTATTGCTATGTAATTTGATATTAAAATGTGACTATAAGTAAGCTCTATCATTAGGCTGATATAAGGTAATTAGTTTTTCTGTATCACAATAATGACAATACACATGTCTTTTATCCAATTTTTATTGAAGAACATATCATTCAATTTTGATGCTTTTTGCTTTAAAAGAGTAATGTCAGGTTTTAGATCTTTTCTTTTTTCGGATACTAGTAAACACAAATGGTTAACATTATAAATGAAGTTGAAATTAATCATTTCAGACATTTCAGATATTTGAAATGATCAAAATAGTCAAAATTAATTTTGACTATATGTTAAAAAAGTTTAAAAGTCAAAATGAATTATGATAGTTAAAATACATTATAATGATCGAAATATATTATGATGGTCAAAATAAATTATGATAGTTAAAATGTATTATGATGATCAAAATGCATTATAATGATTAAAATAGATTATGATAATTAAAATATAATATAATAGTTAAAATATATTATATTTTATTATATTTTATTAAATTTATGAGTTATAACTTTTATAATTATTTAAAAAAATAAAAAAATAAAATGTTTAGATATTTAAAAGATTATTTTATTATTATATTTTTTTCAATGATTATTATTTTTACTAATTCAAATTAGTATCTAATATTGCATTTATATTAAAGTTTTTATTTTCATGATCAATATATTCTGTTTCTTCAATTATTACTCTTATATTCATATTTAAAGCTTTTTGAAATTCTTGACTATTAAAATCAAAATAATTTTCTATAATGATTTTATTATTTTTGTTTGGAATTTCTGTCTCATTTTCTTCAGCAATATCCTCATTATTATCATCAATAAAATCAAATTCTTCTTTCTGTTCATGAATTTCATCAGAAAATTCAGTAAAATTTAAACTTTCATTAAATGTTTTATAAAGTTCTTTTTCTGAAAGATTAGAGTGAGTTTAATTCATTTCAGTAGTAGTATTTGTTATATAATAAGTATGTAATTTTGCTATAGCTTCCATTCTTTCAATAGAAAGGTTATAATTAAATATAAAATATTATTGCACGAAAATGACATGGATGACTCAGATGACGAATATGATTGTGGTGACTAAAATATCATATATGTCTTCTATGTCATATATCTTATATATTTCTTTATTTACTATATTATATATATCTCTTTTATTACTTATATCTCTTATATTTCATATATTTATTATAGTTATTATATCTCTTATATTATTTATATTTCTCATATGTCTTCGAACACTTTATGTATTCATTTTTATATAAATATACCTTGAGTTTTAGAGTAGTTAACAGTAGAGAGTTTTGAAGTAAGTTTAGAATAGTCAGAATACTTTCTTAGATAGTTTGATTTAATATAAAATATTTGTATAGTACAGAGCGCTGATAGAGGCAGTACTCATTTGTTAAGACATATTGAATAAACAATTGATCCTTTTTGATTCAATCCATATTGACTTATAAACTTATACCTTCTGCTTATCTTACCGCGCTTTTAACCTTTAAGCAACCCTAAAGAACTGCCTATAATAATATATAAGAATTAATAATTAAATTATTTAAATTAATATTTTAAAATATAAATTTAAAACTTACTTTGATCAATGACTTGAACACATCCATTCTAATACAGAAAACATTCTTTCATAACCAATATTATATGGTATTATAGAAATTATTTTTAAGGCTAATTATTAAATAAACTATCTTGTAGTTCTATCATTTTTCACTAAGTTTTTATATTATACATTTCTTGAATATATTGAAATTCATATAGTTTTAAAATTTTTTTATATGCTAATAATTGTGCTATTAATATATTTGCTGTAATATTTCATCCATCCATATGTTTCTAAAGTTCAAGAGCTGCATGATAAATTTGTTTAAAAATATCAGATTTAAATTCTTTTTCTAAATAAAATAAATAATATGATTTGTTTATTAAAAAATTATATATATTTATATTTGTTTAAAAAATTTAATATATATATCTTGATATGATATGAAAAAATATCTCAACAAATAAATTTTGATATCAAATTGTCTCCAACAATTATTAAATTTATCAATATAATATGATTGAAATAAAACATTTATTATAGTAGGATATGATTTGAATGCAATTCTAAGTTTCATTAATTGAATAAAATAATCAGCTAAAAAAGTAAATTTATATTCCAAGAAACTATAACTTCTTTAATTGGTTTAAGCAATTTGATTAATTCTTCTATATCTTAAAAAAATATGATTTCTTAATAAAGATTTGATATTATCTTTAAGAGTTTCTGGATGTTTTTCTAAAAGCTTTAATGATATAATAAAAATATAATAAACTTTATTATTATTAATTAAAAATAACAAATTTATTTTAAAATAAAAAAACATACACTATAAAATGCATTTTCACATCTTTTTATTGATGCAAGACAATCAAATGCTGTTGTCTAACGTGTTTTTGAATATCCTTGTAATCCACCTCCTATAATTAAATTTTCTTTTAATTTTTGAGTCAAATAAGTCCTATTTTGATATGATTTTCTAAAATGATTAACAATCTTCATACAAAATGAAATTGTATTTTTTTGAATGTTTGTGTCATTATATTAGTAGTTAATAAATTGATATGATGTGTAATACATTGAACTGGAATTATTATGTTGATATTTTTCATTAATTTGTTTTTTTGTTACTATTATTGTTGCTATATTATCAGATATTATTGAAGAAAACTTTTCAGGCCTAATCTCTTTTATTATTTTTATAATTTTTCAGATATAAAATCTGCATTATGCGAATATTCAGAAACGTCTTGTAAAGAGTATATATATTCTTTTTTTGAAGGTAAAATTAAAATAAATGCATAAATTGATACTCCTCTCGGTCTACCACTTGTAATTTATCATAACATCTAAACTAGAGAAAAAATAAAAAATATTTGATCGCTGAGGCAAATATATATATAAAAAAATATAAAAATATCCGATCAGCTGCTGAAACGAAAGAGCCTAAATTTCTTGAACGTCTATCATCTTCGATTTTTCAGCACTTTTCTATTTTGAATTTATATATTTACACGCAACAAAAAATATCATCCAAATGAAGCTTTTCGTCATGATTATTATTATTTTTTCCTTTATCTTTCTTATAAGAATAGATAAACTTATTTTAGAATTTTTCATTTTTTTCTTTACAACTTCGCGTTTTTTATTTAGAAAATAAACTTTCCCTTATAAATTTTATTTATTCCTTTCTTTCCTTACAAATCTTTTATATTTTTTTATATTTTTTTTGTTTAAAAGTGCCGGGTCTCCTATAAAACGAAACTTTAAGAAATGTCAGTTCCCCGGTGTGTATTTTTATTGAGTTTTTTTTAATACTTTACTATCATGTCTTTTCAGAGGTTTCTTTTAGATTTTTTGTTTTTTTCGTATGAAAAACTTTTCTATTACGAAACTCTCATTCGGAATAGATTGTGAGGTTATAAACTTTTCAGATTTAGTAGGCAAAATCTTATCGAACAGTTATTATTATGGCGATTAAAGAATATACTGTTAATTCGACAATTACTATGTGTTTAATATATGGGAGCTGATCTATTAAAAGTGGGTTCCGAGACTATAAATTGATTTTGAGTAATTGATGATCAAAAAAATGTTACGCCACAATAAACATACTTGGCCAATAAAAAATTGCACTAAAAATAATATTGAGTCTAATCAATTAATAAGGCAATACTTTAATTTTATATATATAACATTTTATTATAATTGTTATTTTTACAAATATTAAATTATTTTAAAATAATGAAACTATAAAGTATCTAAAATTTTGCTATTAAATCCACCTTGTCAAAAATATTGTTACATCAATTTCGTAACACTTGAGATTTTTTGAGATTTTGCTATTAAAACCATATTCCGATCAAAAATCTCATTTTTTTTGAAAGGTTCCTGTAGCCCATTTTTAATAGCACAGCTCCCATATTATCCATGGTCTTTTTACAGAATTTTAAAGCCTTATCATTACAGCAGTACAATTGTTGAACATATTCATTTCACTTTGCTACAGAGATTTTTATTTAAAAAAGTTCACTTCTATTCTTTATAGCATGTTACTTATCGAAACATGTACAGATTTATTACCCTCATTTATTATTATTCAAAATGGATCTGGACCTTGAACAATACCATACCAACTAGTGATACCTGACGAAATTACAATTTTTCAAAAAAATGTTTAGTCAGGTATCACTAACACTAATACCAACTATAGGAAAAGAACTGCAAAAAGAAAAATCACATTAATTTAATAAAATTCAACTATTCTTTAAAATAATATCTTGAAATACTTTACCTTTAAAGAAGATCATTATAATTATGATACAAAATGATATAATTATAAACATAATGCGCAAATCATATTACACATGTTTTGCCTTTGTACCCGTAATACGGACGTTTGGCCGTATTCAAATCCGTTTTTATAATGTTCCATATGGGAGTGTTTCCAGTAAAATCACATTACGGATCATATGATTTACTATGCCTCATGACTTGATTTTACTGGAAACGTTTCCATATATGAGGCCATCTAAAAATTTAAAATAAAGAAATAAGTTTAATGATGATCTTATATAATATACTTATATACAAAACAATAAAATATAATGTGTATCGTTACATTCGTTACGTACAATAAAAAGAAAGAGTGAGAACGTGAAAGAGATGGCGAAAGTGAGGTAAAATGATCGAAAAAAAATAAGTTTTATTATATTTGGTGAAAAAGATGGTACAAAATCAGATTTTTTTGACGCTTTGAAAATTATTCAAAAAAAAAAAAAAAAAGCAAGGCAAGGCTTATTTATAATCAAAAATCGCGACGCGTATTAATATAACGCGTTATGACTGATTTTCGATAATATGAATCATGCAAACATACAAAAAAGTTTAACTAATAAAGAAATGTTATCATGCAGTAGTACTGGAAAAGGTACTATTAAAAAATTCACATGACATGTTAATATGATACAACAAATTATCATAACACTAAAATTTAGTTCAGAGTAGAGTGATTTGATCTGATAAAAAGTTATATGATAATAACCAGATATTTGAATTGACGCGCTGCATTTCGTCTTTGGAGTATGGCAAAATTACATATTTTTCAACAAATATATAATTCGAATTTAGAGATATTGACGAAAAATTATTCAATATTTTAATCATTTACCGACATTTTTACTGCTACTTTCACTACAGCTTTCACTGCATTCTCCACGGATTCATCTATATATTATGAATATGTACAAAGAGGTAGGTTTCAACTTTTCATAAATATAATATTTATATCTTAGGAGACAGCATGTCAATAGTTTATGGGATTGCAATCTTCTTCAAAAACTACAATGCAAGAAACTAGAGGCTATACAATTACGAGACATCGGGTGCCAACGCGAATCAAAAAATACAAAAACATCTCGGGCACGAAATATTAGTAGTTTTTCGACTATTCATCTTTTATTAGATCGTCGACTACTTCCAGAAATCCATCCTTTAAAAAAATCAAAATATTATATACACATAATCATGTCATTAATTCAGTATAAATCGATGAGTTTCGAAAAATAGAAACGTGATACGTTTTTAGGAAGTTTAATGGATTGTTTTAACTAAATTTTTAAATTGTTCAGAAATTCATTTAACAAAATCAATTTTTTTTTTCTTATAGTATAGAAAGACAAATGAAGAAATTAATATTCGTTATTTATTGCTTTTCTGGAAAAAATAAAAATAGATTATCAAAGTTCCGGTCTACATTTACACACACTGCATTGTACAAGTTTGCGGAGCGGATCAAATGGCAAATAGAAATTCGATTTCCTTTCCTTAAATCAAAAGGCAAATTTAGCAATTCGTGTAAAAGTGGTTTTATAATTGGCGTTCTAATGTAATATCGTAAAACTGGATCAAATGAAGGAAAACATAGAACTCAGGTTATTATTTACTATTCGAAATAAGAGTAAACCTGGTAAATCTGCATATTCTATTCTAAGTAAGAATTAAAAAACAAGCCGAATTAAAGGTATTATATTATTATATTTGAATTTTTGTTTTTTATTTTTTATTTTTAAATTTAAAAGTTCTTTTTATTCAGGTTTATTTCAATCATTTAAATCATATCAAATTTAAACTGATAGTATTGAAATTTGAAGTATAATTTAGCCATGTGCTTTTATATTTTTTATATTATCAAAATAAAGTATTTTTTTTTATTTGAAAATTATGATTTTTTAGAATCATTCGTTTCAATTTTTTAATATACTTTTTTCTTTCGATAGTAAGTTATTTTTGACATTTTATTTGTATTTTTAGTTTTTTTTTAAATTATTTTTTTTTAGCTGGGGTACAGAGCTGGAAATCCCTGAGGATTTGATTGTTTTTTAACGCGAAAATTTTGACGGATAACAAAAGTTTCGACGGTTGGGAAATGTTTCGACGGGTAGTAAGTTAATTTCATTTATCTTTTGCCTTCGGGTGTAGTGAAAATCTATTAAATCTGGAATGTTGTCCGAATCTCTCTCTGGCTAGGTTCCACACATCGCGTCGAAATCTGAAATGAAATTGTCCAAACGTCCGAAACCTGTCGATATGCATCAAAGCCATTTAAGTTATCGAAACCCGTCGAAACCCAATTGTCAATATTATTTTCGAAAAGTTCAGACTCTTCACAACAGCCTTAGTTCGATCACTTGTCGAGATGATCAAATGTTTTATTTTCGACCTTTTGACATATAATTATTTTCTTAAGTTTATCTTTCGTGTTGGATCAACTCGGACAGTATAGGTAGGTGTGTTTTTTTCCCTTTCTTTTGATTATTTTGTTAATTTTGGAGTTTCATTTTCTTTGTGCAATCTTTATTTATAGATTCCTTCACATTATATTTGGATTGCTTCGGAGGCATAGCCTCATTTTCTTTAATCTACAACACTAAAAGATAGATTCAAATAAATGATGTGAGAATCAACAATTTATATACTTCAGAAAGACCTTGAATCACCTCTTAAAGATGGTTAATGATCTCATCATAGTTTTTAAAAGAATTCATTCTGGAGAATGATTGGAAAATCTTGGAAATAATCAACACTCCTGAAAAAATATATTGCAGATTTCAGAATGTGAAAACTAGAATGCGTTGAAAATGGTTTTATAATGAAAGACCAAAATGAATACGAAACAGCTGATAATAATGACATTTTGTATCGTTAGGCAATGTAGCAAGATATTTGAGTTAAAATGTGATTGTACTTAGGAATCAATCTAGTGTTATGCTAGCTATATTCGATGCTGAATTGAATGCACATAATATTGTTGCAAAAATGACATTGCTTGTATCTCAACAATACATTAGAAATATTATGAAAGTTCCATGAGAAGATGAAAGATTCCATCTCAAGTTTCATGAATTTCTTTCTTTTCCAGCAAGTGCGGAGATGACGAAAATAGGATTTATCGCTTACTCAAATACTTTGATAGCATCAAGTTTTTTAGGAAAGCTATAACA